GTCTGAGGAGGGGGCTGCCTGCGGGCTCTCTGCCCGCACTTCCTCCATCCGCCGCCGGCAGCGGCCTCTGGAGGACTTACCCTTCTTGGGATTTGAAGGCCGAAGCCAGGCTCTAGCGGGAACGGGGCCCTGCAGGGCCTGCGTCAGCTCCAGTTTAGGGCCCTCAGAGTCATAGTTGGTGCAGCTACCAGCGCGTCACCCTCCCTCCGCCCCCCTCCGGCCCTCGTCCCGCCCTCATTTCTCTGGAGGCAAAGGGCCTTTTATCTCCCGGGAGGGTCTCACCTAGGCCTTCAAACGCCGGTCGGGCGGGGCTGGAAGGGCAGAATTAGCGTAGAGGAAGGTGGGTCGGCCGCGTTCGGGCTGTAGCCCCGGGAATCCTTGACAGGAAGTGTGGGGTTTGCTGCCCAGCCTCCCACGCAGTGTAGGTGAAACTGGGCCCCTTCGAGGGACTGTGACTAAGGACAAAACTCTGATAAATATTATGTGTGCGTCCTTGGGCCGAGAGGGAGAAAGCAAAAGGGGCGAGTTAATTTTCATAAATTGCTATGCAGAGATTGAAACGCAAACTATAAAATGTCCTCTTAAGAGTTGCCTTGAAATCTTAACAAGTTTAACAAGATTTTTGGTGCACGGCAACTTTTTTCCTGGCTTCGTATGCTGTCACATCTTCATTCTGCAACACTGCGTGCATAGAAAGTGGATCTGTTAAAAATTATTAGCTACAAAACAAAAAGAAAACTGCTTTCACCATCTTTATCATTTTAATTTCAGAGAAGTCAATAAGCTTACTTTTCCAATAAGCTTATCTAATTAACCTGCGAGGTAAGTAGGAGCAAAATGAAATTAACCCCATTTTATAGACGAGAAAATTGAGTTACAAAAAATAAGTATTAGTTCACAGTTGCAAGTCTGTCAGTGATAGAGGGAAATATCATAGATATATTATCTCCCACTTCTTTATCCACTAAATCGGAAATCCCGAAAATGTTTACTTCTAGGTATCTTTTCAGCCCCCCCCCCCCACACACACACGCGATGTATGGTAGGCAGTGTCTAATGTCTGAAAGAAATAGTTTCGGGAGATATTCTTGGAGACCCAAAACCATTAGAAGACTCTAAAAGATTTGAATTTTGAGCTTGAAATTTTCTGCCATAGAAAATTGCAGCTCAGCAGTAAGTTATTGTGAAACAGTTCAACTCCCATACTAACAACATAATGTTTATCAATGCCTAGTTAGAGGTGAGAAAATGTTTGAGACAGGTTTAAGAATTTTAAGAATGATGGGTCATTTCCTTTGAATTGCTTCTTTATTCACCTCATCTTTAGGTGGCAGCACTACTATATAAATATCTTTGAAACTGCAGTCTTCTGCAACTTGATATCCTAAAGAGTGTTTTGTCCAGGAGGTTCTAGAAGAGGAAAAAATAGAAAGTCAAGAGAAATTATTAAAATACATGGAGGTACTGAAGGAAAAGATTAGAAAGTTTCACCTCAATAAGCTCCCCACCACCACCTTTTTTAGTTATATGAGGAGCAAGCATCTTTACTGTAAACTTGATCTCTTATGGAAACAGCACAAGCTAACCTTCCAAAGCAAGCTATAGTTTCTCAATACTGCATATTTATCAAGCATTTACAACTTTTTAAAAAATAATATTTTTATTGATTTCAGAGAGGAAGGGAGAGGGAGAGATTGAGACGTCAATGATGAGAGACAATCATTGACCAGCTGCCTCCTGCACGCCCCCTACTGGGGATCAACCCTGCAAACCCGGCGTGTGTCCTTGACCAGAATTGAACTCTGGTCCTTCAGTCCCCAGGCCAACTCTCTATTCACTGAGCGAAACCGACCAGGGCAAGCATTTACAACTTTAAAATTACTAGTTGTATAGTTGCTGGTATTCTAACTACAATTTTAAATTTAGGTGCAGTTTTCCTCATTAAATTTCATCAAGCTTATGAAGATCCTAAATAGGACCTAACTCTTGAATCTTTTAAAAAAAATTTGTTTTTCTGCCCTGACCAGTTTAGCTCAGTGGATAGAGCATCGGCTTTCGGACTAAAGGGTCCCAGGTTCGATTCCGGTCAAGGGCATGTTTCGGACTAAAGGGTCCCAGGTTCGATTCTGGTCAAGGGCATGTACCTTGGTTGTGGGCACATCCCCAGTAGGAGGTGTGCAGGAGGCAGCTGATCAATGTTTCTCTCTCATTGATGTTTCTAACTCTCTATCCCTCTCCCTTACTCTCTGTAAAAAAAAATATATATATATTTTTAAAAAATTGTTTTTCCTTTATTGACTTTTAGAGAGAGAGGAAGGGAGAGGGTAAAGAGATAGAAACACCCATGAAAGATTGGCTGCTCCTACACACCCCTTACTGGAGATCGAGTCTGAAACCCAGGCATGTGTCCTGACCAGGAATCAAACCCAGTGACCCCTTGGTTCCTGGGTCAACATTCTACCACTGATCCACACTGGCCAGGCTAATTTGTTGAACGTTTTGAAAGAGAAGAACTCTTCTTGGTTTCTTTCCTCACTTTCTAAATAGTTCATCCTATATAATAAAGAGGTAATATGCTAATTGACTGTCACACCCTCACACAAGATGGCCACCTCAAGATGGCTGGCAGGGGAGGGCAGTGGGTGACCGGCGGGCTGGCAGGGGAGGGCAGTTGGGGGTGACCGGGTCGGCAGGGGAGGGCAGTTGGGAG